ATGCTTTCATCTCATTTCATATGATTATGACATTTTCATTACATTGCCTTGTTATTATTATTACATTGCCTCACTAAGTCAATGACTTAGCGTGTGAGTGTTTCACACGTAGGATCCAAGGAAGTAGACGAGACAGGTGAAGCAGCTTGACAGCATTACTCCTGCAACCACCAGATCAGAAGCAACTTAATCAGTAGGTCATTTTGTTATGTAAATGGCAGTTGGCATGTAATTAAAGGGTTAAGTTGTGTATGCTCTGAATATTTTGGTAAACTTATATTACAATATGTATATTATCGTATTTTCTTAATATAAGTTCAAATATTTTGCTATTATTGGTTAAGAGTTGTGTTTTAAAAGTCAATGTAATATCTCTGACTCATATCCGGGTCGGGTATGGGTTGGGGGTGTTACAAGAACGACGGGGATACATATCAACTAACCATGGTCACTTTGTTCCATGACATGATGCAAAAAGAAATAGAAGTATATATGGACGATATGATTTCCAAATCACAAACCAAATAAGAACATGTTGAAGTTCTGAGGAAGTTTTTTTTTTGAGATTAAGGAAATACCAATTGAAGCTCAACCCAACCAAGTGTACCTTTAAGGCCACTTCGGGGAAGTTGCTCAGGTTCGTAGTCAGTGAAAATGGGATAGAGATAGATTTTGATAAGATTATAGCAATCCGGAAGCTGTCACCGCCAATAACTCTAAAAAAAGTTTGAGGATTCCTAGGCAGACTGAATTATATTACCCGATTTACCTCTCAATTGATAGAAAAGTGTGATCCAACCTTTCACCTTTTGAAAAAGTAAGACCCATGAATTTGGGATAATAGATGTCAGGAAAGTTTTGATAAAGTCAAGAACTACTTATCAAACGCACCAGTTCTAGTACCCCAATTCTAGGAAAGCCATTGGATTTTGTAGCTAACGGTTTTAAAAAATTCAATGAGATGTGTATTGGTACAACACGATGAGACCTAAAATAAAGAGCGAGATATCTATTATCTCAATAAGAAGATCACTGATTGTGAAACTCGATATTCCCCGATCAAGAAGTTATGTTGCACCCTAGTATGGACTACTGATAACTCCTTAAAAAGGCTACTTTCAAGGCCTTTTTCACTTAAGTTATTGTTTATTTAAGGGCTCATTTAGGTCATTTTATATGCATGTAGATGTATATCATTGCATTTATGGTGGTTGTGTTATTTTATGTTGTTAAGGTGCTTTTGTGAGGATGAATGTATGATTTTTAGTGATGTGCAGGAAAACAGTAAGAAAAGGGGTGAGCTGGGAAGGAAAACTGTGGCATCACACGTTGCTGTAGCAGATAGAAATGTCTTGGCATTTCTAGCGTAGAAAAGGAAAAAAAAATTGTTATAAATTGACAACTGGTTAGGCACGTGTCTCATGGTTATAAATGCTTGTTGGGGACCATTGCCACCTGTGAGGATAGACATCATGCCTAAGGAGTGACTCTAGGGGTATGATGGGTATTTTGGAGTGCTAAATCCCATGAATACTCTTAGATATTTTTATTATTTAATACACCTCACATGAGAGAGGAGAGAGGTTACACACTTACAGGCGACAACTTGAATTTCTACATCTTCTCTACCGTTTTCTTCCCTTCATCTTCTTGGTGGTGTTCCTCCATTGGTGAAGCTCGAGGGAGCGGTGAGCTAGGCTTCTTAAAGGAGCTAGTGAGCTAAGGCGGTTCATGGTGCTGAGGAGAGCTCCGATAGCATGCGTCGAAGGCTTTTTCCTCCATCCATTTGTTGTTTTCTTTCATTTATTTTAGTTGGGTTGTTTGGAACGAATAATTTTCATGTTTTATTTCATAGAATATTCGATCCCCACCATGAACTAACCTTATTTGGTGGGGTTGATTTTATGGATGTTTGATTTTGTTTTAATGGTAGATTGAAGTTTATCTTTTGCATTTACTTGTTTTGCTTATGAAGGCTTCATCTTCTAAGTTTGTAGGAGGAATGAGAGTGTCCATTACTTATATGAAGGGTAGGTGTTCGAGAGAAACGTAGTCATTAATGCTTGGAGTATTCAAGAGAAACACAATTAAGATCCACATAAGCAATGGGGTGTAGTAGTTTACTTAAGCTTAAACCCAACATGATGGTATTGTATCCAAATCCCTTAGTGCTTGAGAGAGACTAATATAGGATTTCAACGACTAAAAGGGGTATTTTTTATCAATAGCGTAGGCTGCCATAGTTGAGACTGAGAGGAGATGTCGTGAAATTATATTATATTAGGTTCCTTTGACTAGAGATAGTGAGAGCACTTTCAGCAAACTCCGTAAAGCAAGTGAAGCTTGAATAGATTAAATCTGCTAGAGAGATAAGTTTTAGGATCCTTAAATCATTCCCCATCACTCATTCTTGAAGTAGTTTCCCTTGTGAGGATTGTCAAGTCATTTCATTTATTTGTTGTTTTTATCATTTTGTGTTGCCTTTGTACTGTTATTATGTTTACCTTATAATTTGCTCTGTTGCCACTACATTTACATCCATTTTGCCTCAACATTACCATTTTATTATGCATCATTCCATCCCCACCAATATTTATTGCCTTGACATCCATCATTAGTGCATACCATTACTAACTATACTTAGATAGAGTAGTGCTTTGCTTTGGTTAAACTTAGTAATTTCCACCAATCCCTATGGAGACGATACTCACTCATCACTTTATTACTTGTTTGATTTTGTATACTTGAACATATTTCATGTCCATATTTAGTACTCACAATACGTGAACAAGTTTTTGGCGTCTTTTCCGGGGACTGACAACGTGAAGTTAATTAGTCTTGCTAGAGCATTTTATTTTTGCTTCTTTATTTTTGTATAGTTTACTTGATATTTTTTATTTATTCCTTTTCAGGCTTATTTGGTGTATGCCTAAAAGACATTCTGACGAGCCATTGGAACCAATCGAACCTGAGATTGAGATACTTTTCAGGCAAAGGAAACATGATCAACGTGCTTGAGAAAATATGTATCAAATTGGGAACCAGGGCATTGGTCAAGATGACAGAATTCAGAATGTCGAGGCATTACAAAATGTTGGTCCTAATGATAGGCCTCGTGTTATTCTTGATCATTTAAATATGATGCTAGATGATCTGAATCATGGAATTGTGGTACCCGAAATTCAAGCTGCACATTTTGAACTTAAACCAGTCATGTTTAATATGTTGAATTCCATAGGGCAGTTTGGGGGTATGTCCACTGAATATGCCAGACAACATATTCGCAACTTTTTAGAGGTTTGTGATTCTTTCCGCCAAGAAGGAGTGCACGAGGATGTGCTAAAATTAAAGATGTTTCCATATTCTTTTTGTGACCGAGCAAGGGCTTGGTTGAATGGTGTTCCCCTGGTTCGATGAAATCATGGGTCGATCTTTGTAAGATTTTCTTATTGTGATATAACCCACCAAACATGAACACTCAGCTAAGGAATGACATAACATCCTTTCGCCAGGGCGATGACGAATCTATGTATGAGTGTTGGGATCATTACAAGAGTTTGCTTCGAAAGTGCTCAAATCATGGTTTTCACGATTGGACTCAAGTATTTATGTTTACAATGGAGTCAATGCACCCACGAGGATGATGCTTGATGTGTCGGCAAATGAGACATTGATGGATAAATCACATACTGAGACATTTGCTATTTTGGATAGAATTGCCAACAATGACTATCAATTTCTTTCCTCAATGTTTAGGAGTGGGAGGAAAGCACCTGGAACATTCGAGTTAGATACCAAGGACTCGATGTCCGCTCAACTCTTGGCTATTACTAATATGCTGAAAATTTACAAAGTTTCACTGAGGTAAAGAAAGTGAAAGCAACTAGCTTGGCATGTCTATTATGCCAAAGCAATCATCACGAGAGCGAATGCCCAACCAATCATGAGTCCATCAACTTTGTAGGTAATTTCAATAGAAATAATAACAATCCATATTCTAACACTTATAATGCATGATGGCGTCAGCACTCCAATTTATCATGGGGTAATCAAGGAGCTCATAATGCTAGTCAACCTACTCGTTAGCAGAATCATACTGAATCTCAAGGCTACCAAAACACTATGCCATGGCATAATGCTTACAAAGGATCTTCATCTTCAGCGATCATGAGTTCTTTGGAAGCTACAATTCAAGATTTCATATCTACAATGAAGACAATGTTGTAAGACTATTATACTCTAAATAAAAATCAAGGAGCTTTGCTTCATAGTCAAGGCGCCTTACTTCAAAGTCATAGCTCGTCTTTGAGAGTTTTGGAAGGTTAAGTTGGTCAGATTGTTGCAGTATTACAAGAGCGTCAGCAAGGACATTAGCCAAGTGACACTGAAGTCACTAAAACGCGTAGAAAAGAACAATACAATGTGTTGACTGTTAGGAGCGGAACGAAAATTAAACAACAATAAGAGGTTGGGGGACACAACATGATGATTTTACCCCATTGCCGAACAAGTTGAAGTTGAATTACATGATGATATCATTGCCGAGAAGGACAAGGAGGATGGTTCTACTAGTGAGCCTGTCGAAGCTCAAAATTCTGATACCAAGGTAAAAGTAATTCTGACTCGCGCAGTTAAGGAAGTTTTCCTGCAAAGACTAAAGAAGTATAATGATGAAATTCAGTTCAAGAAGTTTATGGATATTCTTGATCAACTCTATACCTTAAATTCAAGACCAACATATAGAAAAAAGATGTGGTTCTTCCACCAATACCTCCATGTCTAGATAATGAAATAGAGGATGTTGTTTTTGTAGATAAGAGCGCAAGCTTGATGTGAAAAATGGATACATACATACATAAAAGTATTTTATTTTTCATTAATAATTTAGATTAGAGAACCAACATAAAGTCCCACAGCCACCGGAGATAAGTATATATGTATAGCAACAGACATAATTAAACATAATGATAAAATGCAGCCTAGGTGGTGCCTCTGATGCTTTACTGTTCATCGCTGTGTCTTCCGCCATCTAACGCCATATCTCGGAATCCATCTGCCTCTGCATCAAATTCATCATTGTCAATAGAAAAAACAAATGATTCTAAACCCTTTAATTTACGGGGAAAATAAACAGGAACAATATCTAATATCTGAGCACATCAACCATCTTACCAGGATCATGCATTTGAAATCGGCATATACAGCGGCTCCAGCGACCGGCCAGTAGTTTTTATATCTGGTAAGACTGTTCATCATAATCGGATATACCCGGCAAAGGGCGTAGCACATGCTACCAATGCAAACCACAAGAAGAAAATGCTCGTAAATCCAGTGCATGCATGCAGTAGATGATTACCTTCTCTTAAACAAAACAATCGCTGCGCTGTCTCATGAAAACCTGCACAAATTTCCTTGAGAACAGATCCTTTCTCCAACTTCCCTGAATCCATCAGAAAAAGGTTACATTAGGTAATTCATGCAATTGTAACCGAAGGTAAATTCGTATTCGAACCTCTGTACTGTCTGTTGTTTATCAGAAGAGTTGGCAGTATAGTAATGTCTCCAAGGGACTCTTTGCCGATCTGAAACCGAAATTACAGCATAATTTAGAGGGTGGGGCTCTCAATGCCAAAATACAACAAAGATGGGACTTAGGCAATTCCATTTTAAGTTATAAAGTTTGAGAAGTAACATGACCCGTGCATCTCGTTCAGCTTCAAGAACAGGGTTCTCCACATTGGCCTCGGTGTCTCCAACACAGTTGTCGATTTTATCTAGTTCAGTACCTGCAAGAGATCGGATAACTTTATACGCACACTCTTTGGTATACTTCTTTTTCGACTGGCAACTGTTCGCAAACTCCGTGACGTAATCCCACCATAGCCATGGCTTTCCACTTTCATTAGCAACTTTGAAAAGGCAAGCTTGGATAAGATTCTGAACCACCACATCTTGACCATCGTATCCTTGGTCGAGACCGGGGACACAGTACCTCCCGTGATTGATACATTGTGACTTGCACCGGTTGCTCAAAGCAAAAGGTTCGGGGCAATACCAAGTAATATAGTGGGGGCTGAAACGAATGAACCCTTTCCGCTCGAGTATTCGAGCAGCTCCTTTGAAGTTCTTGATGAATTCGTGCTGGCTTTCACACTTTGGACCGCACTCATAGTCGCTATTCGTCCAAAACTCGTACTCAACTCGCTCGTTAGGATGTAGGAGGGACTCCCTCCAGTCAAGATGTATGTCAACGTCCCCATTACTAATGGCCTCCTTGATGCGGTCGCCTAGTGATTTACTAATGAAGGCTGCTGGAATGACGATATCCTGCTCGGATTCTCCATAAGCTTGTCCATCTTCGGAGGTAGCCATGGTAATCAAGGGCTCGTTTATGTCATCGGCGATAAGAATAGCAACTGCTCCGGCATGCCGACCATACCATGCCTTCGAGGTGAGGAAGCTCTCTGCCATAACAGCAACATTATGATACTAAGCAGGAACAGATTAAGCAAGTTGAAATCAATGTAAACTTCCTTCAACTAATGTCATTATCCTCTTCAACCTATAGACCATTTCGGATTCAGCTTTTTCAAGTTCTTCGTCCATGTGATTTTGAGTTAAAAAAAATATACCTCCTCGATCAACAAGGAGAACCATGGGAAGTCCATGATGCCTTGATTCGAATGAGATGTGGAATCCGCTTTTGTCTGGTTTAGAATAAACAGCCGTGCCATTCAAGGTTCCGGCATGCCGATGAACACCGGAATTTCCGGTCGGGGAATCAAAATCTCCATTGATTGGCCAGAAAGAAGTCACTTTCAAGCAGTTGTTTTTCACCACAGAGCTGCACAAACAAGTACCCCATAACAAAATGTATATGCTAGTTAACAATCCAAACTTTTCTCTCATCTTTGATTAACCCAAAGTGAAAAGAAAAATGATGAAAATTGCTCAATCTTGCACTCAATATATTAACATCAAAATTACTTTGCTGAAGCAATTCCCAATGCATTTGTTTTGGAACTTGGCAAGTATTAAAATGTATCACTATCAAACATTATGTCATTGAAATATTTTATACTCTAGAAAATGTATAATTATAAACATATATTTATGAAATAACATGCACTAATCAAGTTTAATTCCATGTCTTGTCAACAACTCCGTCTTAATTCATTCACTTTGATTTTGTTACAATTTTGTTTTATATATAGTAATTAAGAAAACATAGGCTTTGCAGTCTGGACGCATTCTAATTATGTTTGTCCCGAGATTATTACATCTGTTGTATCTAATGATTTTTCTTCTGATAATACAATGTCCTAAAGCACTCTTTTTCCCTTATAGATCTTAGAATACATTTTTAACAAGACTCGTTTTCTTGAGAAAAAAAAGTAATCAAAATCATTCATAAACATATCGTAGCTCAAACTATTAAAGTTGACATGATGTGAAAAAATATGTAAAGTTTGATTGAATAATTATTTTTGCTCATGGTTTTTTTAAACACTATGATCCCATAGTTTCATTTGGGGGATAAAATATCACCAGTTGAATGAAAACGTTAGTTGACAAACGATCAATATTTATTGTTGATGTGACAAGTCATATGTATCCAAAACAATGATATTATTCTTTATTTTTTAAGGTGAAAAATAATCCGCATTTGAAAAAAAAATTATATCCAAAGATCGCAAAGCGAGCACGAGAGATTTTGCAAAAATCCATTAAAGGTGCAAAAAAATTAAAAAATAATAATAATTTTTATTTTTTATAAAGAATAAAAAATAATTTTATAGTTATTTCATAACTTGTGGTTTTTTTAGTTTTTTTTATTAATTATTTTCTAATTAATAGTTTTTTTAACATAAATAAAAATAATTATAGTTTTCTCTTCTCTATTCCTATATATCTGCATTCATTTGGTTTATCTTTATGAAATAAGATACATACATTCATAAAAGTCTTTTAATTTTATGAAACTAAAAGTTGTTTATCTTACAAATATTGGAAATATAAAACCTTACTTCTCAAAGGATTTATAAAATGGAAAACCCTACTTCTCCCCTACGGGACTATGTTAATCCATCGCTGACTATTCCTGCATCACTGGCATCTCTCCCGCTCGGCGGTAGTTTTGCTGGGAATATTCATGAGATTAAAGTGTCGACAACTCCGTCTCTGGAGAGACCGGGTTCACCCTTTCCGGACGAGGACCAATGCGCCACTAAGAAAGTGAGGAATGAAGAGAAGTTTATTGATCGTATGAAGGAAGACCATAATAGAATGGAGATGCAGCCGAATGAGAAAATCATTGGAGAGGATGTTATGCAATAGGCGAAGCAATCCTATGCCAGTGCATTCATTAGCCAATCGATATAGACAGTAGACGTTGTTTCGCTCCAGGCTATGGACAACGTGGTGGTTCTTGATGGTGAATGTATTGTGGACAACAATGGTCCATATCCTGTGATCCAATTTGCGGATCAAGTCCATGATAGGATCGATTATAGCATGCGACGTTTGGTGATAGTTCGGCTTGTAACACCCCAACCCGTATCTGACCCGAATACGAGTCCGAGATGTCACATTGACTTTTAAAAACGATATTCTTACAAAATATCAAAACATTGAACTTATATTAAGAAAATACGATAATATAATGTTGAATCATGATTGTTATAACCAATTTAAGAAAATATATGTTTTATGAACAGTAAAATACGGTATGAACTGTACTGTGAACAGTGCCGTGAACAGTACTGTAACACCCCTAACCCGTATCCAACCCGGATACGAGTCCGAAGTGTCACATTGACTTTTCAAACATTTATTCGTATAAAATAGTGATTAATTTTAAAAACTTTTGTAACATTTAACTTATTCAAAACATTTACAAAACTATTCAGAGCTTATACAATATATTCTTTTGATTACATGCCAACTAGAACTTTATATACAAAAATATATATTATTCACCTCTCTTCTGATCTGACATTCGGTAAGGAGACCTGACCTGTCTTGTTCCTCTTTACTTCTCTTTTCGCTTTCCAAACCTACGTGTGAAACAATCACACGCTAAGTCGATGACTTAGTGAGGCATATAAAACATATAATATTTCATATAACATAAAGCATACATGAACATATATCATCATTAAGAAACACATATAACATCATATGGTTCATGTAACACATTTCAAACCACTTACTTTTGATAACCATTTATAAACCCATAGTATACATATCACATTCAGTATGTTTGTTTAATCTCTTTATTAGCCCATGTACACTAGTGAGAACTTAAGGTATGTGAGTACATTGAGGTTGTGCACACATATGCTGTCACCACAGCTCATATAAATGTCCCGATGGACCTATCCAGAGGTCATAAAGATCTTCGGTAACTGTCTATAGGTTCCGATGAACCTAGGTAAACTGTCCATATGTTCCTTAGAACATAAGTATACTGTCCATATGTCTCGAAAGACATAGGTAATTCTGTCCATATGTTCTGTAGAACATAGGTATACTGTCCATATGTCTCGAAAAACATAGGTAATTCTGTCCATATGTTCCGTAGAACATAGGTATATTGTCCATATGTCTCGAAAAACATAGGTAATTCTGTCCATATGTTATGTAGAACATAGGTATACCCTCGACTCTTGGCATGCCAACTATACCCCTAGCTCTCATATCACATAACATGGGCATTATCATTTATAACATTTCATATCACTTGTTATTTCTCTTCTGTCACATACCACATGTATGTGTAACCATATATCTCATATCATATCACATGTATCACAAGTGCATGTATTCACGTAGATCATTTCATATGACTTATTAACAAGTACTCAATTAATGTTCCTATATGGTTCCATCTTTATCATATCACCTATGAACTATTCTTATATTACCCTATATCAACCATACTTTGTTTATCTCACTTTTCATATCATTCATTTATCACATATATGCCACTTTGCTTATAACACTTCTCTGGTTTTCATATGACATGTAAATCATTGTCATCTCTTGTTCTCATATAATTTCATATAGTCACTTATCACTTATCACATAGTTTACATCCTATGATCATAGAATCATATCGATAACACATATACTCATGCACACATATAAATCATAACAAACACATACCTCTATGAATTCATGCATTTTACTATTGGAAATAGACTTATCATAAGTCTTATTTTCCATTTAACATCATATACTAAATAATGTGCACTCACCTTAGCTTTGCTTTGATTCGATTCTAATCCTTCAATTGATTCATAACGGGATCACGTTCTATATCTACATAATCATACATAGATCTATATTAGTATTATAACTAATATACTCTAATGGTTCACTCTTTAGATTAAGAAAAATGCCAATTTCATCTTTCAATGAAAGTATGCATCGATGCACTACTGATGCATCGGTGCATAAAATGCATTCGATGTTGTATTATCACAGGGATGCATCGATGCATGCCTTATGCATCGATGCACTAATTGCATTCGATGTTTCTATTTTAAAAGAGTGCATCGATGCACTACCTGTGCATCGATACACCTTCAAACAAATTTCTGGGTTTTAACCTTGATGCATCGATGCACTATGAATGTGCATCGATGCACTCTGCCCAGAACCTCTTTTTGAACCCGAAAATCATCAAATCTTCACTCAAATGCTTCATATTTCATCCCCTTTCATATTCCTAACTTTCATATACATGTTTAAACTCATTTATAATCAATTATCTAGTCTTTAACCTTAATATCCTCTCCTCTTTATTAACTTCAAGAATCATACCAGATTTTTAACATGTTTTAAATCTAATTCTAACACTCCATATCCCTTAATTAGATTGATGACAAGTCAAATTCCTTCTCAAAATTCACTTACTAACTCTTTTCCATAATTTCCTTAAGAAACTCATTTTCTTTAATCTTTCATAACTTCTTTATCTTTTGATTTTAGGACAACTTAAGCTTTCCATAAGCTTAAGTATTACCTAATGATCAAAACCCACTCTTAATATTAACAAATAATCAGCTAACAAGGAATCTTACCTTTGCAAGCTTGGCTCTTTCTTTCTCTCGTACATAAAGAAGAAGAAGAAGATGAAGAGAATGTCTCTTCATCCTTATCCCCTCTAACATATATATCCTTATCATATTTATTTTTAATTCATTTATTGGTTAAATGACCATTTTGTCCTCTACTTCATTTGATAATTACTAACAACTTTTAGGATTTATTTCCAGATAAATCATTGAACTAATCCATTCTTCTACTTTAATCACCAAATTCTGAAACTTTACCATTTAGTCACTAACCCATAGTTTGGGATGTTACAAGTACCATGAACAATGAAAATTTCGAATATAAATTGTATATCGATGCACTGCTACAGTACTGATACAGTAACTTTCGTAAAAATACATATAAATTCGTAAAAATCTAAGCTTTCATCCGTATAAAATTTATCAATTTCATATACGCATTTAACACATTACAAAACTCAATCGTATGACTTTTCAAAACCGATTAGAACATATCGGATTTAAATCCTTTATTTACATGCCAACCACTTTCTTTATTATAAAATACATACTATACATTTCTTTTCTGATCTGATCTTTGGAAAGGATAAACTGATCTGTCTTACATAACTTTTACCAATCTTCCTCTTCTTGGAACCTACGCGTGAAACAATCACACGCTAAGTCGTTGACTTAGTGAGGCATATAAAACATAATTATATGCTAACTGTAAATTCTACAATGCATGAACATTTGATATTACCTTATCATACCAAATCATATATTCTTTTCTGTAATATATATACATACATGTATATATCATGTGACATAACATCATTAACATGCTTA